ACACAACTATTGACAAATGCCACTGATATTTGGAAGAAAAAAAAATCAGAGATTGTAGGCTTCCAACAAATTTTACGCTGTACGTAGAATAAATATTACACTTCTTATCTTTAATATAAGATCCATTTAATTAATTTGGTTAGAATTAAGAAAAGTTACGTAAATTAGTTAATTATAAGAAATACATGTTTTTCCTAAACACCATAATCATTTTTCATAATACCTTATCTCCCTTTCTACTTAATTATTTTGAGGGAGTGTCCGTAGGGATAATTTAGATAAAATTGATAAATATAAGAAAATATATCTTATTTAAGATCAAAACCAACTCATAATTAGATCATATATTAGAATATATATATATATAGATTTCTTATAATTATGTTAATATGCCCTTACGTGCGGCGCTGCGCTCTTTGTTGAATGCCACTCCTCAATTCATAAGGCACAGCTGTACTACGGTCTCGGGCAAAGTTGATTGCAAATTTTCTAAGATTCTTTCTCTTTGTTTTTTTTTTCCCGGCCAAATTCTGTATGCTTCGTGCAAAAAGAATTAAAAGAGAAAAAAGAACTTCATTTTCTTCTCAAATTATTTTTTGGTAGTTCTTTTTAAAATTATTCTGATGATTTATTTTCAAACTTTGTCATTAATTTGCCCATTAGAGTTCAAAATTATTCCTTCTTTCAACTTTTTTTAAAGGCTATTTTGCTTTACTTTTGTCTCCAACTCCTTGACGCGATGGTAAAGTCGAGCGGGTGATTAGTTACCTGCTGCCAAAAGCGTCCCAAGATAGGTGGGAAAATAGTATTTTCTCATGTCCTAAATATAAAGTCATTTTTGTAATGTAATTTAAACTATAAAAATAGGGTTTATATTTAGAATTAGAGAAGTATCTAGCATTGGCAAATTTTGGTAAATTATTTGTAATTTAAATGAAAAGGATCTCTCTAAAAATATCATTTTCTTGTTTGAATTGATCAATATTCAATATTATCAAGCTCTTATATTTTTTAACTTTTTTTAATCAAAGAACGATGTAGATCCTATTCTCTTCCGAACAAATAAGTAGGAGTAAATTAATCTGTGTTGCGAAATAATCCCTGAAACTATTTTTACAATATCACTTAAACCAACATAACACCGTCAATTTTTTATTTAATCCCCATTTTTATATTGTTATCAGTAATTTGGTTTTTGGGGTAGATAATTTAACTTCATTATCTATCTGTTTAGCATTTTCTTTTCTTTATAAATCAGGCACATGAAAACAATGAGATGGGCCTCCCCTTCCACGAAGTACTAGTTACCTCAATGATAAATTGGGTAGCCCATGAAAATATTGGGCTGGATCGGAGTTAGCCCGGCCGATTACTTCATTGAATGATCCTTTATATGCAGGCTACCCAATAAACCCTAGTTCAGGAAGCGTGCCTTGTCGTAGGTTTCTCCATTTTCATCTGCCCCCCGCCTACGTTTCCCCACTCGCGGTTACGGACCTTCTTCGCGGCTGAAAATGGTGAGGCCTCTAACACTATGCTCTTGCTGGCTATGTATGCTCTGTGCATCCATCTTGCTTCGTTTTTTCTTTTATGCTGATCTGTTTTCCCCCCTTGCTTTTCCTGCTCTGTCACGCAGCCTTTCAAAAGATATGTTGAGATCGGGAGGGTTGCTTTGGTGAACTATGGCAAGGACTACGGAAAGCTCGTTGTCATTGTCGATGTCATTGACCAGAACAGGGTATGCCTCTTCCCCCCCTCTTTTCATCTGCTACCTTTCACTTGCTATCAGATTCGGCGCGACTCGGTCGTCTATTTACGTAAAAATCTGAATCAATATGCGTATTGAAGTCTGTATTAGTTTTTAGTTTTTAGTGCTTCCAAACAACAAGTGGGATTTTATTTCGCATTAACGTGCTTTCCCAGTAATGGAATGCAGTTTTAGATTTTATGGAAAATTGAGAAATAATTGAACATGGGTTTTTACTGGTTGAATTTGGTGACCTTTAGTTTGTTTTACACCTTCAAACTTCATTGCTATCAATCAATCTGGGCGTTGCTGCTTCGGTTTATTTTTGACATCTTACTAGGAGGCTTTCACCTTCGGTTGATATCCCCGGCGATTTTTTAAAACAAAATTTAGATTCCGTTTGGCCATCAATGTATTGTCCCAGAAAAGTTATTTATACTCCGATTGATGCGTTTGGCTAAATGTGACAGTTTTTGCAACCATGGGTTATTGGTGGACTAGTATTTCAATGTATCTTGTGCAAATATCGAAGTCCATCAGAAATTCGTATTTCTTCCAGCTTCAAAAGCTGGAGCGCTCTTGTTGTATTGAAATCATTTTGGCCATTTTTTGAGGGCTCGCAGTCGAATATTTGGGATTGGATCTTTGGTGTGATTTATCTTCTTCATGTTTGTAGGCTCTGGTTGATGCACCTGACATGGTGAGGTCTCAAATGAACTTCAAGAGGCTCTCCCTCACTGACATTAAGATTGACATTAAGAGGGTTCCCAAGAAGAAGGAGCTCCTTCAAGCAATGGAAGCTGCTGGTGGGTAAACTGTTGAAACACTTGTTTGGTATTTATTCATTAAGCATATTATGTTCGGTAAATAATTTGTTTTCACTTACAGATGTCAAGAAGAAGTGGGAGAATAGTTCTTGGGGTAGAAAACTGATTGTTCAGAAGCGAAGGGCATCTCTCAATGATTTCGATAGGTTTAAGATAATGTTGACAAAGATCAAGGTGGGTTTTTCATAGTATTTTCGCCTATCTGATTGTAGTACCATCTTGTATTTTGGTAAACAAGATTCATTAATTTCCAAATATGCTGGCTAGTTGTGCCATTTGTGTTCTTTGATGTTGGAGTAGTTGATGCTAATCTATATTATTTATGTCGTGCAGAGGGCAGCTGCTGTAAAGCAAGAACTTGCTAAGCTGAAGAAGAGCGCTTCTTAGGCATTATGTTGTGAGCTTATTCAAATTTTTGCCTTGGATTTCTTTCGAACAGTACACCGTTTTTATGAGTTTTTACATCATTTGTAGACCAAAAAGTTTTATTTTGGAATATTTAATGTTAGGGTATTGTTGTTGGTTCTTAATGGTAGAATGTCCGGAGATTGCTGGTTTTTTCCCCGTTTAATATCGTTTGCATTTCAGATACTGATTTTCTTTTCGCAAGACATAATGTTGGCTAATAACTTCGTGACTTCCAAGATTTGGCATAGATATAATTGATTAATCTCGGAGTCCCCACTGTGTGGGTGTATACCGTAATCGTTGGCAAGCCAAAAAAAAAAAAGATGTATACAGTAATCAGTCATTAATTGTGGACGTTAATCATGCAAGTCTGTTCTAGCCTGGAGGTTCAGAGCTGAAGGCATTATCCAGGCATCTGGGTTATTGGAAGCGTCGTTTGCAATCAAAGTGTTTGGGAAGGATATAGAACACTACGCGACAGGATTGGGCTTTTCGTTGTGCATTCACGAAAATCAATTTTCCATTTGGCAATTAATAATGTCAATGTCGTCGTCAAGAAAATTGTCATTTGAATTTTATTTTATTTTTAAATATAAGGCTTCAATCCATTTTGTCGTATTTATATATATTTTTTTTAAATAATCTTTCTAATAATAATAGTTCTAATCAATACACTTGATTAGTAAGGATATTTTAAGAAAAACAACACCTATTTAGGATAAATAAATAACTCAACTTACTTCTTTAATCTCTTCAAATTAGTTAACTGGCTCTTATAATTAAGATCGGAAGTAGTACTTTATTTTACTAATCTCATTTACATAGGCTTGGTCAAGTAATTGTCACGTGAAGTGATCTGAAGTCACCGCAGTTGATGGGGCTATCATGATAGCTGCTACTAGAATTATGATAATTGTTACAACGCGTAAAGTGATCTGAAGCCACCGCAGTTTGATGGGGCTTCGTGGATGGGCGCTCGTGTATGAAGGCGGAAAAAATCATTCAGACGGAGCAATTTTTTGTTCATTCAGATGGAGCAATTTTTTGCTAGAAATCAGATCAAACCAAACATGTCATCCTTCATTTCTGCTTTGAATATTTGAAACATCATCCATTGTCCAATATAAGACCACCAGTCAAGATTTCAGATAAACACAATTGATATATCAACAATGAAACATGAATATACAACACAACACAAAGATCCTACGGCAAGACTCGCGATTTGTCACTGCATCAATCTCACAATTATAAAACCTGTCATTCTATCAGGCCATCATTACCTTCTTTTCACTACTCTTGCTTCGGAACGGTGACAACAAGGAGAACGTACGCGATGCTGCATAACAATAATATTTTGCTTTACAATTTACACTCGCATTAAGAACAAGAATAGGTGACTATAATGAAGAAAGGGAGGAAGAGACAGAGTTGATGTTCATTAGCAAAATCGCGCATGAGAAGAGAGCTTACACTTTTGCGGTGTTGTGTTGGCAGCGGAAGTTTCATCTTGGGATATCAAATTCTTTAATGTGTAGGCTGAAGATAACAAGGAAACTAAAGTCAATTTAATAAAATATCAGCCATATCAAATATGGGGGACTTGTGAACCATCTGCAAACTTACACACATTCTTCAAAGAGAGAAATTTGTCAGTAGTAACAGGAAAGCATGAAAAGCCAACAGTTGATGAACAAATCAACACTTTGGATTTGGATAACCCATCAAAGATGAACTCATTATCTAATGACTAGATGAACTAGGTTGTTAAACAGTTTTCATCTACAGCAGTCTACGTTCATATTTTCTCATGAATGATTCAAGGAACCAAAATCTTATGTGAAAGCTTGAAGGTACGTGGTTTGAACTGTCAAGACAAAGGATCGGGTCTAAGGCAAGCAGAACAATATCGAGTGGAGCCCACTGACCCACTTATCTATTCAACCTGACTTGCATACCACAATAAACAACCGATACTACTCTTGATGAGGGATTTAGGTATCCCATACTAAGTTTCCATCACGATTACTCACAAATAAGTTGGTTTCAAAATGTTGGAGCATAATGTTATAACCATGAATTTTCCAAGCTATAGTTTCCCCACGTTTCAAAATCTCATAACATTACAGGTTTCACCAGAAATGAGGACCCATTTGTGGGGAGTGAATCTTCTAGTAAACTTAGGATATGTGAAAAGTTATGAACAATGCGACCACTAAAATTGATGCATATTATCTTTCAGAAATGGTCAAGGATACTAAGCTACTATCCTTATTCTGTTGAGAGACAACTCACCTTCTTTAGAAGAACCGTTTGTCCCAATCTCATCTGCTTCAGAGCCGTCAATGCTTGCATTATCTGATTCCGTGTTGTGTCCAGAAGTAGCTGAGCTATGATTCTTTCTTCCAAACTTCAATAGACGCCTAAAACCTTTTGATGATTCCTTTACCTGAGGCTTCTCAACGACTTCAGGAATCTTCTCAAGTGTTGAGTTTCTGGAGTCAGCTACATGCGCTCTAACAGTCTCCATAACAAAAGGTGCAATCTCCGTGTTTGTTGAGGGTGCTTTGCCATACTCAGAATTGCCTTGGCAAGGATCTTCCATAGAAGAAACTCGAGCAAATGGAGCATGATATGTTTCCTTATCAATACCAATGTTTGAAGGTCCTTTCTTCACACCATCGGATTTGACCTGAGTTTGAGAGATGTTATATTCAAAATCAGCTTATGTAACAACAATTGCTCCAAAGCAGGGATGATTTGTATCTACAACTTAAGCATATAGATTATAATCAATGAAATTAAAATTTTCTTATCCATATAGTTAAAATGTGGTTAAATATAATAGATTACTGCCATCCAAATTGAAATTTAAATATTTGTATGTTTATAACAGTCATAGGATAAAGAACTTGAGTCATAAAGTTCTCTCCTCACAATTTCAGATTTTTAAAAGACTGGGCAGAAAATTGAATATTTAAAAAGCATTTGGTAGGACAATACTTGCGTGTTATGACGCTGGTAATACAATTGCCAATCTGGATGAAGAATCATCAAGATAGGTTTTTCTTTTCTTTTCTTTTTTTTTTGGGTGCCAGCGTCAACGTAGGGATTTCTTAACCAAGGCCAGGTATAACTTATATTTTTACCCCTTCTAATCAGAAAGAAACACAGTACATTATTTATAATTTTAAGCCTTGTAAAACAAAATCACATTATCTGAAAACAGTAAACAAGCGAGATAGTTAACTACATTGAAGCAACTTTTAATTGGCGACAACATACCTCACTAGATATTGGTTGTAGTTGTGCTTGGTTTTGTGTGATTTCTCTATTTACTAGGTCCATGCTTGGGGAAACTGGCGCACGGATGGCAACATAATTGGACACAGCCTCTGTTTTCTCTGTCACTTCACAATTATCACACTGTTTCTCTGGCACCCGCCCCCCAACTTTTTCTTCTGTCATATGAATAGCTGGGTCAGAAGGTTTTTCACTCTCAAGCACCACAACAGTCTTCTCAATTATCGGATTATCATCTTCATTATCATGGGATGAATCTGTATTCACAGATTTCTTTGGCAAAGCACCTTCCAAGTTTGTAGAAATCTTGTTACCATTTACCTTTTCAGTCTTCTCCTTGACTGATGATCTATTATGGGAAACATCAGTTGCTTTGGCTGTTCTAACTTTCACTTCAGGGAGGGTTGCGGTCTTGTTTTTATCATGATTCACAATGGCAGAAATCTTTTTGCTTTCAGCTCCATCAGCTACTTTGGTCTTTGACATTGTTGCAGTGCTCTGTGGTTTAACTGTAGAATTTTGACGGATGGTACTCATTTTAGGCTCTGACAGTCTTCTAATCCTTGCCATGGATGCTTTAGTATCAGCTGTATCACCTCTCTTCTCTTGCTTAGATCCAGGGAGTGAAGGCACTGATCGGCTTAACTTGTTTTCAGCTGAGTGGCTTCCAGCATTCAATCTGCTGGATTTTGAGGCTTTTGAATCATTAGATCCAACAGAAGAAATTCTCACAGGGAACCTTTGTAAAGGTGAGGATGATCCTGGCTCAGCATCACTAAATTTTGAACCTTTGAGAGAACTTGGTGAAAGTTTGGTAGGAAGCCGTTTCTTGGTTAGTGGGGATGGCACTGATTGCTGTGCAGGGATTGAGCTGCTTCTGGAAGCAATTCTCTTTTGCCTCTCCATCTTTAAAGCCTCCAGCCGTTTGAGCTCTTCCTCTTGCTGAATGATACAAGCAAGAGAACCCAACCAAATTTAAAAAAGAAAAAAGAAAAGAAGAGGTGATAACCTTGAAAAATGTAACCGTTTGACTAATTCAAAGTTAAATAAAACTGACAATTAAGGCAAGGTCCCATAGTAAACAAGGCAGTTGGACTAAATGAGTAACTTTCCATTTAAGCTAAACCACATAAAAGCAAGAAATTGGAGGGGAACCAATGGAATAGAAGTAAACACCTTCTCTTTCTTCATTTTCTGAAGATCAGCCTTGTAGTTTCGTAACTTCTCAGCACGTGCTCGCGCTTCATCCAGGGGACTCAATTTTGAATTCTTCCCTCTTCTTATTGGCCCCACATTCTTCTTCCTATCAGAACTGTTGGGGGTAAGTTTTGACTTCTGCTCCTTATCCAACCTCTTAGATCCTGGTTTGGTGTCAGCAGACACCTCTTTATTCTTCTTAGCTCGTGAAGCATCAACTTCAACCTGAGCCTCCAATTCATAGTCTAAAGCAGGATCATAGCCCATTGATGCCCTTTCGGTCACTCGTTCAGGCATCAAACTCAATTCATCTGGCTCATAATTGTGATGGTTCCTTAGATCACTAGACGATCTTTCTGCCTTCTGATGCACTGCAGGCAACTCAGAATCAATGTCAATAGCTTTTCTTCCGTTGTCCCCTCCGTAACTGGCTTGGTTAGATCTATACTCAACAATGTAGGAATCATCATTCATATCACGCAACGAGTTCCTCTCCAAATTATTGTTTGAATAACCTAGTCCATAGACCACTTCCAAATCTGAGGAAGGATGCGCATTACCAGACTGACTGTCTTGTTTAAGAATGATGAAGTCGTCATTGGCAGTCCTCCTATAGCCAACCCTTCTGCCACCAATTTCTGAAGACTGCACATCATCCAGAGACACGCCATCACCAGGCTGGGTTGCCCCCCTAGATAACAAAAATGCATCATTTGATGTCTTAGGCATGCGGGTTAAACCCCTGCTAATGGCATGCATATCTATTGAATCACCACCTTGAATTTCATGCCCATTTTGCTCACTACAAACTAAAGGATCACTAACAGAAACATGTTTTTTCCTTCGCAGACGATCCCCCTTTTCCACTTCAAACTGGTCTTGGTCAACGGCATGTCTATCTTCATCAACATCTCTAAGCAAACAATTTTGGAATGCTTGCCAATGACCCCCGTCTGCATCATTCCCAAGCTCTGTTTCTTCCCTATCAGACGAGTTCAACTTCTTGAAAGATTCTTTACCACTTCCTCTTCTTTTTGAGTTATCCGCATATTCATGAGTATCCTTATCCTCATTGTTTTCAGAGCCAGAATCTGAAAATGATCCACTGCCAGAAGAGTTCTCTGTCTTTGTAATGTAGTTGATATTCCGAATTACCACTGTGCCAGATTTCTGTCTGCCTGATCGGCTAGACTTCTTCCGTCGTTCTCCAGTCTGCGAACCTCCCCCCTCCATGCCCAGTTCACCCCAAGGTTCTGATTCAGTATTGCTGTACCTACCATCCATCGAATGCCTTCTGCGCCCCATATTTTGACCAGAATTTAGTCTGGGATCCTCCACAGGTGGATAAATAGGCTGCATGTATGGTGTTCCTGGATAGTTCTGATAGTAGGGCATGCCTTGCATAGGATATGGCGGGAAGACTGGCACAGTGCCTGGGGGAGAATTGATTGGCCAAGGAGGGTACATATGATGTGGAAATTGGCCTTGAATATTTTCTTGGTGGCCAGCAGATGGTTGAGGAGGCACATCTGGAATAAGTAAACAAGAATCTCAAGATATGAAGGGGGGAAATAATAGCACAAACGTGGAGCACCATATACTAATTTTAGTCGAGGAAAACTTCATTCTCACACAAGCAAATCAAATTGAATTATAAGTAACTGATCGTGACTTTACATTTATGCTGGTCAAGTACCCTGTGAAACCTAGATATTCCAGTTCAGTTGTCAATGAGATCATAATTTGCATTGCTCATGAGACCAAAATCTATGATTCTCCAAAGAAGCTAAAACAGCAATTCACATCCATACGGACTTTTATCCGTGATGAAGTTCAACTTTTGGAGGGAAGAAAAACACCTAACAGACTAGTGAGACAAAAACTGTTTTGAACATGAAAAATTAACTTTACTGCTGGAAAATTTTCAGAACTTCTTTTACTGATTACTCTTCAATGTTGCAGCTCAAAAATATCAGAGGAAAGTAAAAAAGAGAACATTCCCTCTCAGAATGTAAGAATCTGGTTCAGTCCCAATATAAGTGGCTATGCATGTGAGAAAATAGAGTCATTATGATATGGATGCATAAATAAATTCACAGTGAACGTGACAAATTTACAAGTTCAAAATATGCTGATGTCAGATACCTGCATTTGCTTTCCCATTATTTTCTGAGTCCAGCTCAGTGTGAGATGCAGCAGCCATGCTGGAAAGTATAATCCCTGATGTGTTTACAGGAGCGAAGTCCAATCGGCTGCGAATTGCTTCAGAAGCTTCAATTTCAAGCCACTGACCACTTTCATGTTTTCGTCTCCAAAGGTCCATGAACTTTTTACATGCATCCCTGACATGAGATAAAAATACATCAGCAAGAGTGTACAGAGAATTCATGGCTGTATGCATGATAGACCCAACATCTTACTGTGACCAACATTACATGAATAAAATAAAAGAGTGAACGACATTGTTCTTACATCATGCGAACTGCTCCAAAGCATTCAGCAAATGACATCAAAGTTGGCAAGTATTCAATGTCAAAACCAGCAGCAACAGCACGGGCAAAGGCCATGCCTTGCTCTTTCTGAAGCACTGATTTTCGAGTCTCCAGTACTTTCAACAGTTGAACTCTAATATAATGTAAAATTGGGGTGAATATCTTGATAGAGCATGGAAGCTTAATGAGCTCAAAGCAAATAAAGATAATGAAACTTACATCGTTCACAAAAAAGAAAATAAACCTATTAAGTATGCAGGCCAAACATGGAAGCCCCAGTAAATTTATAATCATTCATTTACATCTCCCAACTCTTAGTTAAAAAAAATTATTAATGTTGTAATAAGCACAGAACACGGGGGAAAAGATCACAGGGGATGTGGAATTTACTTAGAATTTCCTTCTGACTGAGTGGTTCCATTTGCTTCAGGTGGCTGATCTTCAGGCTGCAAGATCAGTAGATCCATAAAAATCGATTAAAAATAATACTCAACTAATGATGACAGAGTGAGGATCCACTGACCTTGTAAAGTACAATAGCTTTCTCATCATTAGCGTCCTGCAGAGTTTTGCTGGCTGTGCAACGCAATGAGTTTTGTTATGACTGAACAATTACAAGGATTTAAATGCATAAACACTTCTTCAATACAAGTTAGTTGTGCACAAAGATATATTACAAGATCCATACTTTTCCTTTCAGAAGAACCTTCAGTACTCTCAACATGTTTTACTTGGTTTTCTTCCTGCTGAAGAAATAAAAGATATTTGAAACAGAACATTAAGCGCTATCATATAATCAAAAAACCCTATTATATTTACTTACAGTGCTAATCCCTATAGTGGAGTTGCCTTGAATTGCAATTGCCTCTTCAATTTGTAAAATCTCAGATTCTATAGTATAAACACGTTCCAATATCTCAGGAGTGCTCACAAAGCGAACAAACCTACAGAAGGAGATGATAGTAGTTGCGAATGCTAATTACATATTACATAATAGGAGGAACTCTAGTCTAAAAATATTGGCAGCGAGGCTAATTTTAATTCTACAGCCTTAACCTCAAGAGCTACAGGTGGAACCACTTAAGTTTGACTTTCAAAGGCATGGCTTAACAGCCATTTTTCCGGCACATTTCCTTACAGCAGGAAATAGAAAAAGAAACGGAGAGATAACAACGGGGTTTTTTGGTGGTCAGCGATAACATTTTAACAAAAATGAGAGGGAACGATGGAAATAGCACTCCATTCCAGATCTGTGTTGAGAAATGGAGGTAATCATAACTTCCACAAAGCTTAATTAAATGGGTTAGCAATCTCAATTCAACTTCCATGCTATACTGATAGAAAAAACTAACTATTAAACACAGAATCAAACCTCTCTATAGTTTCCCTGGTAAACCAGGAGGCGCCATCATGGTCAGGCTCTAGAATAATCGAATAACCCCCTTTGGCCATCTGATCTTTAGCAGCCTTCAAGTGGGACAAAAACGGGTCAAGCAAACCCGAAGCAATCTTCTCTTTCTTCCCATTCACGATTATGACCAAGTCACACCTGATTTACACAAAAGCCCGGAGGAATTAGGACAAAAAGGCGCAAATACGCTGACAACTGCCTGAGAAAATCTTAGTACTCACAAGAACGATCCGTGTTAGCTCCAATAAAATCGACAGACATCAGAGAATATTAAATTACTTGCCTATCAATGAACCATAGAGAATATTTGAAGTATTTTTCCTAATAAAAATAATTCCTATCGATTCGCTTCAGAACTTGCAAATATTTGAAGTATTCAGCGAGGTCTAGCACAAAACTTAGCATTGTACAGCTTAGATTTATTCCTTAGTTCTGGCATTTTCTTTTCTTTCTATGGTTTTTCCCCACCTTTTGGCGGGTTTAAAACAGAGCAGATGGAAGAAACCAAGCAAGCTGCAGTACTACCTGGTTCGAGTAGGTGTGAGCTGAAATACGGCTGAATCCAGTCTCGTTGAAGAGTTCATTGTCTTCAAAAACAACCAAGAAGAGAAGCTGAAGCTAATCCAGCAAATGGGGTTCTTTTTCTGGGATCACGCAACTCAAAAGTGAGATCAAACGGCCACAAACAACAGGGTGAGAAAAAGTAAACCGCAGTACCAAAATGGGGTTTAGCGACTGTAACGAAAAGAAAAGGGTGGGGAGGGGGAAGCTTTGCTTCAGAAAGATATGCCTCAGGGCTCAGAGAGGAAAGTGGCAGAAAAACTGAAAAGTGTAAAGTAATGGCACCAGAAAATGAGCTCTAATGGCGGCCAAAAAGACACTGGAAATGGGGGGTATGAAGGTTCCAAAGACAAGACAAATGATCCTGAGATCGATCTTTTGGTCACCAACTCCAACCAAGGACCGTCAATTCTCTGCTGACAGATATATCAGCTCGTTGAATTTAGCTCGGCGGCGGCGAGTAATAACCAAAGTGCCCAGGGATATAATCGGAAAGTCACGAGACAGTTCGACAATCTACATTGGTGCGGGTTTCGTTATGGCCAGATGTTAGCCTGGACAGTGACCTTCAAAGGTTTTCTTATCAAAATGACATAAATACCCTCCCCTCATTTAATGCTACATTGCTACTTACATGGTGCCGTTGAGGTTTGCCCGGTATACCGTGTTTGTCCGGAGGCATAATTCGACCACTTCGCTTTTGTTCACACTAAAATAATCACTTGTTATCCAAACAAGTAAAAAAAAAAAAAAGGATAAATAATTACTTCGTGTGATTATTTCCTCACATAAAGTCATGAATCTCTTATTTGGCAGTCATTTGACACCAATATTTGTTTTACCTTCTTTTTTTTTTTAATTCTTAATTAAGTAAGCTCATAGCTTGCAGCCAATCACTCTATTGAGTCATGATTAATAAAATTTGCAGCAACATAATCAATTCATTTGTGGAGAAATCACTTTTCATGACGTGCCACTTTAAAAATTTATTATTGGTATGCTTTATGTCTAAATAATTAAATCGATTAAGAATCTATGGACAAGAAATATCCACCTGTTCTTTATATTTGATGTTCTAACAAGCATAAGTACATCATAAGAGTGTCATTTTCTGAATTGTACATAGTTTGCGTCCAAGAATAATATCCTTTCCCAGTTTCTTTATTTTTTACGCCATTTTTTGTACGTTTTGGTCTAAGAATTGCTGTGGATTGGCATGTTCTATGGCTATACAAGGTTGGAAGTGTCTTTTAGTGTGTTATTGGGTATAGAGAGTTCAAAGGAAATGAACAGAGGAAGTACAAACATAATTAATTGATTGATTACTTAAACTAATTATGAAGCCAGTTGAAAACTTGAAATCGAAATGCCATCGCAGTTTTTTCCCAAAGGATTGAAATAATTGGTATAATTCTCGAAAGGTGTTTGATGAAATGATGAAGACGATGAAGAAGAATATTCTCCTGAGACATTATGAGGAACATGGACCTTTTATATCACCAACCAGTCATCCCACCAATCATTGAAGATTGAGAGGAATCTATTCTTCTTAAACATCAAATATAGAAGACTAACCTTCGTTTCTTTTCATGTGATTATGGCCCTAACTCTTTTATGTGCTCGATTTTTAAGTCAAAGCATTATTAATGACTTTTAGTCAATTATAATATATTTAATAGGATTATCAAGTACGTTGGCAAAAAGAAAGGTTTATCAAGTACCAGTAAAAATGATTATCAAGTAGTGGCTATAGTGGGATCTTTCATCCTATTAGCAGATAATAGTTGATCTTAGGAATTCAATTTTCAATCTTTGCGTATAAAGTAAACTTTGTTAAGAAACGTACCTCTTTCCTTCATATTTTGAAGGAATTTTATTTTCATGATCACCAAATAATATATTTCACGAAATTGGTTTTTTTAATAATAAATATTTCATTATTCTCACCTAATTTTTTCGCATTACACGATTTGCAGCTCCCTTTCTTATGCTTTTCACATATGGTATATTATTTAATGGAAGCGGTTCAGCATTTTTTTTTGGGGGGCATAAGACACATTTTTTTCATATGGGTTCCTAATGTTGTGACTACAAGTAAGATAAAACAGAAAGTCAATTGGAGTCCGTGTTAAGTAATACTACTTTCGGTCCTAATTATAAGACTTTATTTGTAGTCTACAAATAAGATCTTATAATTAGGATAAGAGATAGCAGTTACTATTTAGTCAAAAGCTGTATAAATAGAAGCAGAGATGTTCTCAAGCCCCCTGTATCCTAATTCACAATCACTACTAATTAATTGGTTTTCTGTGTCTACAATATTGCAAGAAATCAATAACCATTTTTGTCATCAGCTATAGCTAAAAATATAGGAAAGTTTGTAGAACTACCGCGTGAAAATAGTAGAATATCTAAAGTTTAAACACCGGGAGAATTATAATCAAGTCCCATACAAGAGAAATAACTACTAAAAGGTTCAATAACAACATGAACAGCCTGTAATGACAAGTTCTGAAATGGAGAATAACAAACCCTGGAACTTGTTTTATAATTTTTTTTCTTACACGGGATCTCATTGCAATTCTTCCTTAAACATCTAATTACTTGGAGATTTTATGTATATAACACTGCCTCTGGAATCCGGTTCTTAATATAAAATCTTATTTGACTTTTATTTTGGTCCTAAATATAAGACTCTAATTTACTTTGTCTTTTATATTTATGCATTTTTTTAAGGTAGTCCTTAGTAGTTCTAGCCAATATAATTTATTAGCAAAGATATTTTAGGAAAGACAACATATATTTAGTATAAATAACTAACTTAACTTATTTTATTAATCTACTCAAATTAGTCAACTAGTTCTTATATTTAGGACCGGAGCCAATACACTTTATTAGCAAAGATATTTTAGGAAAGACAACATATATTTAGTATAAATAACTAACTTAATTTATTTTCTTAATCTACTCAAATTAGTCAACTAGTTCTTATATGTAGGACCTGAGGCAGTACTGCATATTATTTGGAGATATTATTTCTCTGGTCCTAAATATAAGACCCATTTTGTAGTGTAAAATTACATTACAAAATGGGTCTTATATTTGAGACCAAAAGGAGTATTATAATAAGAATTTTATAATATCTCACACAAACCGTGGCATGTCACTGACCACATAAGATTACGAAAAGTTATGTCGCATTTGTCTGGCCAGCCATAATGAAAATCTAATGGTAATAAAAATAGTTATCTTACCAACATCAATAATTAATGAGAATTTTTTTATTAAATTAGGTAAGTTTGAAATTTGAAATATAATCTTTTACTCACACCTTATTATTATACAGGGTTAACGAAAAGGTTTAGTATATAAATCATAGTAAATGGGTAATTAAATATAATGATGCTGGTTGAGCTGCCTCATATATACAATAACTAGAGATTTCTTTCATGTGCGATGCACGGATTAAAATATTTAATTAAATTTTAAATGATAATAAATTGTATTGTCTAAGGCAGTTCAAAATTAAATTCACTTTTTATAGAAATGTAATTTTTTTTATTCATTCAAATGAGATTTGAATTAGAGATTCAAAAATTAAAAAGACCAAATTTAAATTTATTTATTTATTTTTCTATTCGGATGTCTTAATGTTATACCCGACCGTTTTTAAAACGAACCGGGTATTACAAGTTTTCAAGAATATAATTAATGATTGATGATTTAGCGTATAGTGACTGATGTAGATTGTAGAATTGGGAGATGTCTAGTTTTTATATTTAACTATATGTTTTATTATTAAATTTAGTATCGCGTACAAAAATAGGGATTAGCAGAGTGGAAAACGTGATTCCATTTATAAGCAAAAACAAAACAAAAAAACGCGTTAATATGATTATGGAACAAGCAAGGAATATTTCTTCTAGTAGTTCTGAATATAAGGCCCATAATAATTTTGCATTATATATTGATCTTAGATATAAGGTCTAACCACTTAATTATAAAATCAATAAAAGATGGCCAGGTGATTAATTTTGTCTGAAAATAAAATAAAATAAAATATTGATTTTACTCGGATTTAAATATTGTTTGAAATTTATAGTGCATTTTCTCGTACAGCTACATGGATAATATTAATCTGACTGAGATTATGTACACTTTTATTATAACGAGGGGTGAAGATATAATTGCGATATAATGCATCATTTTGGTACGTAATCGATATTTTTGGCGTAAATTGAATTTCGCGAAACGTTCCTTTCAAAAATTGTCCATTCCTACATAATAATTCGTCCTCAATTTTGCCAACTCAACAGATAATGGCCAGCGAGATATATTTAATCAACAAGAAACATCACTCTAAAATGTTATAGTTTATACCATATACGCCATGTTATGGCAGTAAAATTAATGGATTACAGAATTGTTCGATGAGAACTCGAGCAAGAGAAGATAAGGGGAATTAAAGAGGTGAAGTTAAAGAAAAAGAATATCGATAAAATATATTAAACCTAATATGATATTTCTTTTCCTAAAGTTTCTACGAAATTTGTGTTTAATTAGCCTAAGTTAAATGGTTGGAAGATCATACACACACACAAGGATTATGAGAAGTTTGGAAGGAGTTTATGAAATAGAATTGAAATGAATCATCAATTAGATATATGAAACCTAATGCAATGTTTCTTCTCCTAAAAATTTTCTACCAACTCTGAGTTCAGCCTGAATCAAATATGAATGGAAAATGAGAGGGATTTGGTGTAAAGGTGAGGAAACTTTTGAATATACACATACACACGAAGAAGGGCCTGGCTTCGATTGAAAAACTTGGGAGGAATTCACGAAACGGAAGAAGTGATCAATTTGAACCATCTCCTGCATATTGACTGACGAAGACAAGAATTAAGAGATAGATAACACAGTGGATCTCACGTGTTATACACTATTCCGGTTCTAAATATAAGACTCTTATACTAGTGTGTATAAGAGTCTTATATTTAGGATAGGAGGAGTAGTATTTTAAGCATGTTTATCTTTTTTTTATCTAAAAAGTCAATCCACGTAAAAGCGTTTCCAGTCGAAAGTGGTAAAGGGATTAGGTTAGATGTACCGCGTATATTGAAAAGAAAAAAAAAAATCTGAAAACCAGTGAAATGAATCGCTGCGAGATTGGTAATATTTCTTATGCTTTTTAAAATTATGGAAATATACACTCATATCATCATACAATTATGGATTCAGACTTATTTATAAGTGAATCGAAAGGAAGACATGATAAGGCTCCATCCCAACTGCGCGTTTGAAATTAATCTATAGGATATGCAGATAATGGACTGTTGGGATATGAAGATGGCACAAAAATATTTCTTTTTTTCTTTTTTAAGTGAATGAACGATTATGATAAA